GAATGCTGAAAGAAAACTATTTTTACCAGAAGATAGAGCTTTTTTTTTCTCTTTCGAATCATATATAACTTAGTTTTATCACATGTCTATCAACGAAATGATACAACAGGAAAGAGAAACACCTTTAAAAAAAAGTCCGCCCTTTTCGTAAAATCCGAAAAAGTAGCACAAACTCAATTATTTGTTCTTTAAATTACATTAGTGACATCGATGGAATATTGTAACCACTATTTTGTAGTCGTATAATGGATGTTTCAGTAATCAAAAAATCAAGTGCGTCAACTGTATCACATACACGATGTATTTCACGTACTTTTAAAAAGTATTATAAAGCTAATTCTCATTTTTCATCATAATAACATAAAGTGAACCCAAACTACTGTATATCAATGCAAGATCACGATGCTTACCAGGCAATGATTTATGACATATTTTCAATGCATCTTGCGTCAACTGTTCTCCTTTTTCGTACTTTTTCAATGTTACCTAACAGTGACCCATATGAAAGAGTTGTTCGACCAATATCTGGATGATCTTCTGGCAATTGTCTTTTTTGAATAGCAAATACTTTTGTATAATTTAAAATAGTCAAATGATCACCATTATTTTTCAAAGCTGCATGAGTTCTCTGTATAAGAATATCACAATTTTCGTCTTTGTTTAATAAAATATCGTTGATCAATTTTGTTAATTCTTCAAGAACATTTGGATCTTTAATAGCTTTCTTTTGTTTTTCTTAACTTTCAAATCCCGCTTTCATATATTTCATTTGAAGTCTTGTATCGCTTTTCCGTTGATATACTTTACTTAGGTCAGTATAACATAGAACAGTATCTTGCGGATTTGGCACACATTTGCAAATGTCGATTGAAATATTTTTCACTTCTATCATAATCACCAACACGAAACATTAATTCAGCCAAATTATCATAAGTTGGATTTTCACCTACTAAATAACATTTTTCATGTTCAAACATTCGTCAATAATCTTTATCATCTTCATGACATAGATCTAATGATAAAATCCATTTGTTATCTTCATTATTGAATTCAAGAGTAACAAATTCGAAAGACAGTACCCAACATGAACAAAATTTATTTTTCTTCTGAGAATAAAGTATAACGATTGATATTAACATATGATTTTAAATATTTTATTTTTTGATCGATCTTAATTTGAATTAGTAGAGAAATAAGGTCAGAATCCCTATCGTTAGTATTACCTTCAAAAGAACCTACGACTTGACGGTCTTCTGTAGTTGATAGAAATGATCCGATTGAATTTAGTATTCGCTTAAGTTCTTTTCTATCGATTTGTTGACCACGATAAACCGTTTTGGTCGATCTATCATTGGAATTTTCTTGCTGAGAAATACTCTCTTAAGCTAATTGAGTGTAGAGATCTGCAATAAATCAACTTAATTCAATTAGTAATTCAACATTTTTCTTTCGTAATGTTTCATTCAATAGACGATAGAGAGACACATATCTTTTGTATACCATTTAATTGCATCATCAGATAAATATTGTTGTTCAAGTTCTTCTAGTTTAGATATTTCTACCGGATGATCTTTATAGGTATTTTTTAATAATTGTATTACATGTGTTTTTATTCTCTCTCACTCAAATATAAACAATTTAAACCATAGAAAATTTCCCATTTTCATTACAAAAATCAGATGTAGATGTTTGTTCTCTACGATTACAGATTGTAAGAACATATAGTCGTAGAAGCTGCGACAGTAGATTGATCTTCTATAGATGATTCATCGAGACTTTTATAAACACTAAAAAAGATTTTTTCATTTTGTCGTAGAAATTTTTGCTTAAATACATTTAGTTCTCGTTGTACTTCATTGTATATTTCGTCGACCATACGACAAATAGCTTTTACCTAAGTAAAAAGAAGTATGGAGAAAGATTTTTATTTAGAATGTGCGTATGGGTGAAGAAACGAATCGCAGTCAAACCTATACACACGAAAATCTGACATCTTCCTAAGACGTTAAAAATATGCATGCACTAAGGTACGAGAAAACAGCATAAGCAGGAAAACTACGATTCACCGAACGATTAGTCGACAGTTATCTCGATATGAGAATGGTCTACAAACAAGAAATTGTTTTTTTAATTTGTCGTTTTTCTTTTTCTTTCGCTTATCATGACGCGTACGAAAATAGGACTTTCAGCTCTACTATTTACTTGATCTAGATAGTGATTGTTTTAATTTTTTCGATAATTTTTGATTTAAATCGAAATTTTTGCCTGTAAATATTGTATTTGACTCATATTTTGATGATATGAGTTAAATTATTGTTTGTTTACTTTCATTTGCTGATTGGTTAAACAGTATTTGTTCTTTTAATTTAAGTGAATAAAGTTAGAAAAAAAGTTTAGTTAGTTTATTCTTCATTTTGTGTACTTAAGCTGGTTCAAGTTTAGAATTAGAGTTTAATTCATTCAGGACGATGGGTTATATATGATCCGACCTATTGTTTAGTAGAGAAAAGTGTTTTATTTACATGAAACTGTTAGACCTAAAAGGCCGTGCATAAATCATAGGAGACAGTATTAGTTATATCATACTTGTCTTTTTTTCTTTCTTTCATATATATTCTTTTAAAATTTTCTTTGTTCTCTCTGCTATCTAAAAATGACATCATGATTTCTCTCTTTGTTTCTACTGTACTGCCTTTCGAGAATATTTTCACTTTATACTGCACTTATATTTTTATGTGTTCTTGTTTTTATTGAAGAATTTATGTTGCTGTTGATTTCGAAAAACATTTATCGTTTCTCTTTCGATACGAAGTAGAGATATACCGTGGATACAAGAACGAAAACAGTCATCATATAAACTCTCAAGATTTTTTTATTCTAGATTGTTCAACAAACCTTGTTGTCTTTTTCATTAAGAACGTAATAAAACTGCCTGTACTTCTCATTTATTTATATTCTATTTATAATCAATACTAAACAAACGGAATTCTATGCAAATAGGGGTATGGATGTGGGCGGGTGTGAGTGTAAGTAATATTGTCGGCTTCATCCACACTCACACATCCATACGCACCCACTCCCACACCTTTTTATACCCAAGAAATTCTTTGTGTTTGAGAAAAAGAATTCTTTTTATTTTTTCAGATTCGATTTGTCAAATGAGTCCGTCGAGCAGCGATCATTCAGCACAGAAGATGAGTTGTTCTGAACACGTTTTTGCTGAGCTTGTTTGTATTCTTTTAATTCTTGTATTGTTTGTCGGAGGGCATCAGATAATTCTCCTTGGCCACTCATCCACAGTTCCTTAGAATACAGTGCTAGTATTTTCTGATAATTAAAAATGGCAATATCACATTGATCTTGATAAAACTGAATTCCAGTTATATGTCTATATACTTCACTTCTTCCTGGATAAGGAGGATCAAATGGAAGGTAGATTTTTTCACGCTCTAATAGTTTATTATATTTTTCTAAAGTCCGTAAGTCTTGGTTGGTTGACATATGGAGTAGCGGCCAACGAAACTGACGTATACGATCTGCTATTTGATCAAAGTGATGATTTGCTGCAGCAAAATCTCCTTGACGCTGGTACACCATGCATATATAAGCTCCAATGAGGTTTAATACCTCTTCATTTCGCGGAACCATCGATTTATGGATATCTAGAGCTTTTTGAAGATACTTCAAGGCCAAATCAAATTTTTTTTGTTCTCTGGCTCCATTTCCGGCGACAATATAAACCATAGCTTTTGATTCATTTTCTGGTAGATTAGTTAATAGAGATTTATAATATGTTTCGTGTTTTTCATATTCTTTTAGTTGATGAAGTAAATTTCCTAGTGCGAGATGACTCGGTAATTGCAATGTGTTTCTCTTAATGAAATTTTCTATTTCTTGTGTTTCAGAGACAAAAGTTAATTTTATAATATGTAAACGATGTTCTTGATCATAATCAGTACTTCTAATGCGAAAATGTGATCCCAATGTAAATAAAACCTCGTCCTCTGAAGGGAAAAAGCTCAATTCTTTTATATTAGCAAATGGCTTGGATATTGGTAACGATGATGAGCATTGGTCACATTCGATTTCAAATAAAACATTTGCTAAGCTGTCATCCTGTGGAGAACTTAAAACGTATCCCATAGCTTGCCAACGATCATAACTTGTAGATAAAAAACTATGAATTGATATGATTTCTCCATTATTTTGTTGTATTCTTTCCAAATCGACAACAGGTAAAATTTGACCACGATAAACTGTGATGAGATTGGTATGCTGATTCTGCTGTAACTTTTTCAGCTGTTCGTCGATATCTTTGATTATAAATCGAAATGCAAGTAAAATTTCAATATTTTGTACTCGAAGTGCTTTATTTAAAATTCTGTAAACAAAGCAATCTCTTGTATACCAAGTGATTGATGTTTCTGGCGTATATGTTTGTTGAAATTCATCAATGCGACTTTCTTCTATTGTAATTCCTTCGTACTCTGCTTTACACAATGTAATGATCTCATCCATACTACTGGTTTCTGTAGTTAGTAAAGTAACATCCATTAGTAATTCAAACATAATAAACGAGTAATTTGGTGTAGCTGCAGAACTAGTAGATTGTTGTTCTTTAAAAAAGTTGCAGGACATTGAATCCTCTAATCGTTCACGCCTTATTTGGTCAAATATTACTTTTTCAACTAATGTATCAAAGGGTGTTATAATAATCTTTGCCTACAAACAGAAACATACTTTAATGCAGAGTAAGTGTGACGGTTAGGTGGCAAAACATAGAAAGTCAAAATCTTGAAGAGGCAGAATATCGAAGAGGAAAAATATAGAAAGAAAAAACGTCGAAGTGCATAATGTCGAAGGAAACATCGAAAATAAAATCTTGAAAAAGCGAAACGTCGAAACTCAAACTCGAAGAGGAAAACATCGAAAGCTTCTTAAACAGTACGAGACAAAAAAAAATATGACTCATTAACATAGCCTATTCATTCTCTTGAGGATTTGAGTGTGGCTATCGATAGGTATCTTCTGTTAACCAAAATCCAATATTTCATGTAGGATAGGTCTAGAACGCTTTCAACTTGCCTCGATAATTTAGAAGTCGATACCTGAGAATATTTACAAGAAATGTCTTTCTTGGTCACAAAACCTGCAAAAAAAAACTAAAAAGTATATTCAATATGTTCTGGTTGCTTCAAAATTTTGCCAATGTATTTGTATTGAAAATATAATAACATTTTTATCTAATTATTTTTTAATTCTCGCATTTAGGAAGAAAAAAATGTGAATTTTTCCACTTAAGAAAAGGAAGGTGATAGAAAATATACTATTGTAGAATTTTCAATGTTCTCATTCTGCACAGACAATTTTTCATATTTTGATTTTTGACATTTTTTCGACATGCCTGTATTTCGAGATTTTGTACATTCGATATATTTTTTCGAGATTATGCTCTTCGAGATTTTGACTTTCGATGTTTTTCAACTTTCCCATTATGACAACCGGGGTGGTCAAAAAATGAAAAAAGTGGATTATAATGATGAAACAGACAAAAAGTTTTGGTGTTTTTCAAATTCATTGATTAAAATTGATATTTTCATTAATTTCCTTGCATGGTTTTGATTACAAATAAAATTCACGGCATTTACTTAATTAAAATGTCGTTTTTCATCAATGAATTTGAAAAACATCAGAACTTTCGTCCGTTTCATCGTCAGGAATGCTATTTTTGTTTAATGTTTTTGATATAAAATTCGCGAAAGTCATTATACTTTTTTGATTTTTTTGACTCCCTGAGTAATTCTATAGGTACAAATATGGCCATACGACATTTTTACTTACATTTTGATTAAATCTGGTTCGTTTCTCATCAGATGGATTACCAACATAATAAATATAAACAGCACTGATTCTTTTCCATTCGTCTATAGTCGAAATTAGTTGTTCACCAGACTGCTCATTACTTATTACCACTAAA